ATCCTGTCTCAACCATAAAATTTTAAGACATGTTGCCATTCAAGCATGCAGAGGTTCTTAAATGTACTACCACATCCCCAATTTTTGGCTAGTGTTCTATGGGTCAATGAAAGTTAACACAATTAAATTCAATTCGTCATTTGTTTTAAACCTACTGAAAAGCAGGAACTGCTATTCAAACCCTTCCCTGGCCCCATCGAGAAATAGAACCGACTCACTCCTGCCATAAAGAATGGTTGTTTTGCCAACTCCTTGCTAAATGGGCCTTTAAAAGGTCACTGAGACTCAAGCTCAAACCACAGCTAACAAACACGGTTTTTAGGGTAGCATTGGCAGATGTGGTAAATTCTATTGCAGGCAGATGCTAAAGCAGGCCTATGCGAGGACTTCTACATTGCTGATGTATATAATAAGAGGAAGTTTACAAATATAAATCCATAGAACAAAGAAACATAACCCTAATCACTTATTACCAATAAAACAATTAAATAAAACAAAAATAATTTCTTTTTCCAATAATGTTGGATTTTTCAAGGACCTATTTAGTACTAGAATATGAAATCCCGAGTTATTTGTAATGAGGAATAAATTGAAAGCTTACCTCAAAAGATCATTAAATAAACATGATTATACATTTTCCTCGATAGTATTGAATTTTATCAGGAGACCTGCTTGACAATAGAACCTCAAATGCCGTGCTATTTCTGATGAAGAGATTAAAATTTTCTCCAAAAATCAATACAAGCACCTTAATCCTAATTCTTCAATTTTTTCACTCATGTCCTTGTTATACCCATGACTAATGAATGCCAATGGAGATGAGTTGATTAACGAAGAGTTAAAGCACAAAGCTTTTCAACTACAATCTAATGTTCAAGAGCTACCTACGTTTAAAAATGTTGAATTCAATTTTCCTATTTTCACCAATTCAGATCTACAATCTCAACGTTTCTTGCTGGAGAATAGCATGTCATGGATATGAAACAAAGATTTTAAGCTTGAGAAGAGAATGCCCCATTCCTCGTCCCTCATCCCTCTCATACTACTCACAACGAAATTCAAATATATTTCTCCAATCAAAGAGAGAACAATGGGGATGACAAGAAGAACGGGAACAGAATGTCAGATACATTTTTATTAGGAAACTTTGTATTCTTTACAGGATAAATTTGCGAAGTATTACTTAGTAAGATCAATAGAGGACTTGGGGAACAAGTATTTTAGTAAGTAGGATGTGTTTAGGATTATTTAATTGTTATATTGGTACTAGTTGATTAGTGTTGCTTCGCCAACTCTACTAGGCCCAAATTCCAGAACTTTTACATTATGTTCTATACATAATATTGGTGAGTCAAAAAACTGGTGTTTTAAGCTTAGCCATTTAAACCAAACCTAATACTAAATCTCAACCCTCAAATTAAGTATTTTGCGGTTATAGCCCACCATCGTTGGATCAACTTTAATATTAAATCCCAGCCCTTTAAATTAAGTATTTCGCGGTTATAGCCCACTACTACTTGGCAGCTTAACCTCCCACGTTCCTTACACCAAATCATTTTCAATTTCAAAATTACATTTTATACCCTTATAATTGGTGATTTAATTTACTTTATATCCCTTACTTTTTCATTTTTCATTTTTCATTTTTCATTTTTCATTTACCACCCTTATCAATTAGCACAAATTATCGTATATGAAGTAAAGTGCATTTAAAAAATACGTTTCCTTTTTTGCAAATTATATCATTATAATCATCTTGTCAATACCTTCAAAATGAGCCTAATATCGAATATTTTTGGACTTAACCTTATTATTAAATATCATAAATACTTGGTGAATTATTTTTAAAACTTATGTTTTATATCCTGTATTTATTTATTTAATTTTTCATTTTAGACCTTTATTAGTATTGTATATATAAACATGAATAATAGTTATATGTTGAAAATTAAAAGGTATCTTCATTCTTGCTAGATTTACAACCATAAAATGCACATGAAAAATTAAGCTCCTTAAATTTTTACCATCTAAACCCCAACTCCTCCAAGCTCCTCAAATTTCTCTAGTATAACTTACAAGGTATGATCCCACCACACCCCCACTCCAAAAGTTTATCCACTCCCCCAAAATTTTCTCCCCTAATTTTTCTTAAAATATTAATTGCTCATAATTTCTTTCTCTATTTTGCTCTTCCAAGTGCCATCGCTATATATATATATACCCCTACAAAGTATCGATTACAACCACTGTCCCACAGCCTTTAATTGCTTCCAACTTATGGATTCTCTCCATCGGTTGGAATTAGTAATCCAATCGACATCTATGATACGATGCATGGAATCCGTTTAGTCCGGCCAAAGGACGAAAGGGAATTGGTTGATCCTCCATCCATATAATCGACATCTGCCCATCGTCTCGAGAATTGGTAAATAGATGTTTGTTTTTTGTTAATTTAATCACATGGAGTTAGGGATTTATAGGCAATTCAAAAGTACAGATGGACTTTTTCTTTGTATCAACTCTTCCAATTCATCCTCGTGCAGATGTTCAACATTCGGATAATGGCCCACCATATTACAAAACTTGAAAAGTGCAGACAAATTTATGCAAGGTAGTACGCACAACCAACATTTTAGACTTGACGAGTGATGAGGGAAACTCAATTTTATTTGCTTTGGTACTTTAATTACACCTCTACTCTCTATATGTTTCCTTCTCTATATTTAACTCAGTAGTGTACTCTTATCATGTGATTGTGAAGGAAATGAAAGGAGCTCCGTTCATTCTTGGCTTGCATATGCTAGAGAAGGACGTTTGTAGTTCATCTAAAGAGAAAGGAACTCTTGATATTGGTGTGTTTTTTTGCTTGTGATTTTGTGAATGTGTTGAATTAAGATTCAAATCTTTCTTTTTTTCTTATTCATATTTTCTATTTGTGTAAGTTGATCATTGTGCTTCACGGGCTTGCTCCCTTGATAGGCTTTGTAATTTGATTATTATAATGTATGTACTGATAGATGTTTGTAGGACTCATTTGAGAACCTCCTGATCAAGATTATGGCTGTGAATATCTTGAAATGGGAACATAATGTAAAGTAAATTCCGGTGACTTAGGCTCGGATAATTTTCCAAGAAAGTAGCTTGTCTACTTTCCACTTTTTCTATCTACATGTTTAATGTCATTAGTTCAACACAAATATTATTGGATTACAAGTGATGTAGTTTTTATTTGAATTGTTATGATGAGGTCAGTTGATTTTTTTTAAGTTTTTATTTGAATTGTTGTGATGAGGTCAGTTATTTTTTTTAAGTTTTATTTGAATTGTTGTGATGAGGTCAGTTGATTTTTTTTAAGTTTTTATTTGAATTGTTTTGATGAGATCTGTTGATTTTTTTCTTCACCAGTGATGAGGACACTTAGGTGCTGAAAATGGTGTTGATTCTGAGTTGTCATATCATGAATTATCTTATTAATTGGTGGGAATTGGAGATTGGATTCATTTTTTAATTGTTGAATATGGATCACCTTTTTAATGTTCATAAAAGATTTTGGTTACATGTTCATAATAAAGTGATGTTGCATACGATTTTATACCCGACCAACGGACGTGTATAACATTAGTTGTCTTGGGTGGAAACAGGTGACATTTTAGTAGGTGAATTAATGCCCCAAATGGTCTAATTCATGAAACTCACGTGATAAATAGAGCTTATGGAAGTTCTATTCAAGCATACAACATGTAGAACCAGATGTACACCCATGGGGGTATTGCATATGAGATAGAACTGCACTAGCAATATTCATTGCTGGAATTCCATAAACACAATTTTCCCATGTGTGTATTTGAGTTAGGCCCATCACAACAGTGTAGCTTGATTTTACGATTTTGCATGGCACTTTGATTACAAATTCATAGGAGAAGGTATATGTTATCATACTCATTGGTCCAAGTGTTTTGCTCTTGTCCCCCTCTCTATTACCTTTTTAAATAGGATACAAGGTGACATACACTTTATTCTGAATCAGGCACATGACATGCAAAAAGTTCAAAACATAAATCACACACACATAATCATTCAATGAGTCAGGCACATATATTAAAAGTATTAAATGTACTAGAGCATGAGTAACACCAATTAACAAATATACATTAGCATCAATAGCATGTCTGGAAAGAATCACATTGATTGACGAATTATTAACGAACAAATGAACATCAAAAATTAACATCAATGTAATTACTTGCATTTTGATTAAACTTAAACAACATGAACTCATAACACTCAATTAATATTATAAACATCAACCATTTGATGTACAATCAACCTCAAACCTAAATTCAAAATCATGGAAATAGATGAAGGGCCAGAGCTAACATGTCGAGCCAAATAGGTAGACTATACGAAGGCCATGATGTTGATTGTTTCATCTTTCTACAGAATATGATTAATGAATTCAGATTCCATCTAAACTAAGAGAGCCTAAGACTATTTTTATTATCCACTGAATATGACCCAAAAATTTGACTTATCCCTCGCTTCAATAAATCTTCTATCTCGCACCTTCCAAGGCATGTGTCTCATCAAGGCTGAAGGACTCACCAAGGTACCCTCAACACCACTAGATTGCCAAAGGTAGCAACCAGATAGTGAACTATTTTAAAATTGTGCCATTAAAGCCACAAAAAGTCAAATATGCTTCGCTAAGAGACCCACAGTTCATAGGTGGAAGTTACCTTGTTCTATTTAGAATATTGTGTGTTTATGAGGCAAATGTGTGTATAAAGAGAACCATTATCACTCATTACGTTTGTAGGATTGTCCTTACCTTTCAACATCATTTACTCATGTTAAGCTTCCTTGTAGTTGATAAATTTCAACAAGAAATATAGCCATGTAAATGGTAGTAGCTACATTACAATTTCATAACATTCATATAACATAAACATTACAAAATGAATTGAAGAAACCACATTAAAAATACACCAAAATATCATAACCTGGTGCAAGATTCACTGTATGACAACACGAGCATCTCACACTTGTAGCACCACGTGTATACATTAGCAATGTGCGGCAACCTCCACAAATCAGTTGATCCATTTCCATGCCTAAAAGGTTTTAACAGATATGATTATCAAAGACTTGACGACCACCAACACAGAGTGAGTAGTTGAGGATATGCAAAGCAAATTCTCGCAAGGTAAGTACTGATGCACACATCAAGTGCGATTGTCCCAACAATCATGCAACTGTGAAATATATATCATCGTCCCAGGTGTGGTGCAAAGAGAAAGCATACTCATTTCTAATTGAGGCACATGTATTACATGCTAAAGGGAGCTCCATTCTTTCTTTTGGACAGTGTGATAGTCATTTAGCACTCGAAAATGGCAAGAAGATCAGCATGGTGATAATGATTATCTTACTACATGCAAAAGATATAGTTCACATGGCACCAAAAGCCTAAATTTTGATTCAACGTTCATTTTAGTGAAAAACCATTGATACAGAAGTGATCATTTCCCATTAACAAGAATCATGTAATTATCAAGTACCAAACCTTACAGAAATTACGACCCTCAAATTATGAAAAGAAACTAAAATAAAATTATATACCTTGTAATATTTTAAGGTTCTGGAATAACAAGGGGTGTCAATTGACACAAAATTGCTTATTGCAGGAAAAAAACTATCATGCAATTATGAGTACCAAACTTGAAAAATAAAAAATTTAGACTCTCAAATTATAAAAATATAATAGAATCACCTATCTTGTAACAATTTAAGGTTCTAGAATAGATAGGGGCATAAAATCATGACTCGGAAATGGCTCAGACTCGGAAAGAATGTTAAATTTCAAACTCGATTTCACCATTAAAAAGAACTTAAATTCCCTATATATATTGTAAAGCTAGACTGGAAATCTTTCATAAACCTATTTGAGTGGGATCAAATTTAAGTTCTAGATTCTAGAAAGAATTAAATTTCAAAATCTACAATTTTTCTTGTTTTCAATTATAGTTCAGCGATTTGCAACTTGGTCATTGGTACACGTAGTATTAATCTTATCATGCAAAACCCGTGGTTATTTTTCTGAACCAAAATTGTGCTTGGAAGGTCTTCAAAATTTGGGTACATCTTCAGCTCTACCAGAAATTTTGTGCCAAATCAAAACGAGTTTGGTTTGTACATAAATTCTCGACTCAAAACAAATATCAAACCCAATCTAAACCGAAGTACTTCATCTCATCCTGTAACCCAGATTAAGACTAGTAACTCGTCCCCCCACCAAACACAAAAGACGGAAAAAATCTTAGCGCAAGATACCTTACAGGAGAAAGAAGAAAAGGACGCCCACAGATGGATTAAAGAACTTCTATGTTGGTTTCAATCTCTATAGCAAAAGATGAGTTTATATGTCTGGATAAGGAAGGCCAAGGTTACATGCTTGTAGTTGGTAATTGGTATAGCATAATGAATAGGACGACCCAACACTCTTAACATTTATCCGTCAAACTCGGTGTTTATTCCGCGTTTCTTAAGAAATAGCTTTTCCTCTTCTTCGTTCTTTCCCCTTCTACTTGGGCGATAGCTTTTTACGTGTTTCTAGATATACTTATGTAGCAGACCTTGACTTTTTCCAGAAAAAACCAAATGACCTCAATCAGTTGCTGAAAATTAGTATATATAATAAAACTAAGAGGAAGAAAAAAGAACCGCTTTATTTTGCTCTAATTGTAAATATTGATTCAATCATTTCTCAAATAACGCAAAATGGCTTCAATTTTTCGATAAATGTTACCAGGAGGAGGAACCGAGGTAACGGCATTACACAATGCACAGCACACATTAGAAGCCCCTCTTGGATAAAGTAATATGCTTCTACAACCACTGCAAACTATCTGGCTCTGCATATTTCTCTGAAAATCAACCAACCCAAAATAAGGTTTAATTTTCACCTAAAAACTAAAAATTAGAAATCTACTTGTCCATCTTCATCCATGGATTCTTTATTTATACTCATCCACTAAAATTCTCCAGATTGAAATCAATACAACCACGCGTTCCTATTGCAGTTATTGAATCAAATTTAGGAATTTTGTATCAAAAAATGATGGGATAAAACTGAAAATTACCAGGCCAAATGACGCGACCTAGAGGAGAACGAGTTGATGAACCGATATGAGGATCTGTGTAGGGAATTTATATGCCATGGACGAGCATTTGCTGAAATCTCAGATGAGATTTGTGTTTGTGGGCAAAAGGAGTCTTTTACTGTATTCTTGTTGACGGTGGGTGGATTTTGATGTTATTGTCCCAAAAGTAGGGCTATGAGGGTAAAACCGAATCTATATATGAACCATTGTTTTTAATATTTTATTTTATTTTTTATCTCAGTCGATGTTATGATACGGCTTTATGTGATTTTGAGAAAGCGATGATGTTTTTATTTTTGAATAAAATATATGTTTGACGATATCATAAAAATTTGACAAAAATATATCGATATTAGTATCAAATTAACTATTTGAAATTCCTCATTTTTTTGTGTAATTTTTTAATCCAATTTTTTT